AAAATATAAAAATATATATAATACATAAAAATTAATTAAATTAATTATATTTATATTATATTTTAATAATTAAATTAAATATATGTCAAAAAATATCTTAAACTGAAAAATGTATAAATAATTTTCTATGATAAATACAAGGAAAATTAAGAAGCACAAGGACAAAAAAATAGTCCATCAGAAACAACAGTAGCCATAGACAGTATACTGTATATATATTACACTCTTCAATTCCAATACAGAACCAGGTAGTGCTTAACAAACCCGAAAGACATATATTATTTATTTATTTTCTTCAAAGTACAAAATACAAAATTAAAATATACAAGGAGGAATGGATTGCCCGGCCTCTTGCCTGTGTCTTTTCAGAACCAATCAGAAAGCGAGTGTTCCTCCTCTTCCGGCTGACAGTCCTTTTTCTCCACGTGTGGACGACAGGGTCTGGGCCCCACAAGCGGACCCCACATTGGTTGTATCTCATCACGTGAACCACCCACGAGACAACTCTGCTGCTCTCTGTCGTCTTTCCCTCAAACGGCGCCGTTTCGTCCCCGTAACTCGACGGCCATTTCATGCACGAGGTCCTCCAAAATCTTCCGCTCTACCTCTTCCGCAATGCCTTCCCCTTCCTCCTCGTAAGCCACCGCATGTTGTAGCTTCATTTCCAGAAAATCCCTCTCGATTAAGGCGTCAATGTCCTCGAGAACCCTACAATCAGCTCTTGGGAAGCATTTGATTTTGGAGCACAATGTCTCTATCAACTCTGATCCTCTCATGTGACGGATGGTACGAGTTGAAGTATTACGGACCCATGGCTTGGTGTTGAAAAAGGATTTCAAAATTTCGACTAAAATCTCATCCACCAGATGAAACAGCAACTTCCTGTTGCAGCGATGATGTAACGACGTGGAACTTTTACTGGGTACGGCGGCGGGGATGACGGTGAAATGTTCGAGGTAATAAAAAATTGATGGGTCGAGGGGATGAGATGGTGAGAACCACCGAGTGAAGGACACTTGGGTATCGTGGTCAATCCCCGTACGAATTAGGATTCTAGTGATGTATTCATGCTCTGCTCCGTCGACTCCGGAAGTTGCAGCAGCAGCACCGTTACATCTGTCGCCGTTGCCGCCTCGGGAAGGGTGCGGATATGTCTCTTGTTTTTTGTACGTTTGGCTCGACCGACTACCTAATGAGTTCTGTGTCGATGTTTGAGCCTCTGGAACCTGTAAGGAAACCCAAAAACAGAGTCTGGTGAACAGTAAATTCTGTGCAAGAAAATGCATGCTGCATTTTTTTTTTAAAAAAAAAATGAAAAGCATCTTAATTTGGACCACATATACCTGTTTTTGTGAAAATTTTGTTGCTAGAGAAGAAGAGGGATCTTTCTTGACCGGAAGTAGAGTAGGGACAGAGATGTTTAGGAGATTGTTGGATAAAGGTGTCTTCTTGCATTTCTTGTCAGGAGTGGTAACAGTGGAAGGACGAACGAACGGCTCCTCTTGAACCAGTTTTTTCAGCCGTGCACTGAACCTTTCTGCGGAGGATTTCTTGCTTTTCTTACTGGGTCTCTGTTCTTCTTGAACCGGCTGCAACTTGGATTTTAGCGGAGAAGGTCTAATACTTTGTGGCTGGGGCTCTAAAGATGGTGGTTTTTGAGGCAGGGAAGCGGGGACGGCCAGTTTGCTTTGGGGTTCGAGTAGCCTGAGCCTGAGCGAGCAAGAGGGCATTGATTGCTCGGATACCTTGGCTGAAGCGTTGGAAATTTTTTTGGCCTTGAATTGGGTCACGAGCTCCTCTCTGTTCCGGACTGTGTTGGCTATGTCCATTCCGACTTCCCGGCTAACATTTTCTTTCACCTGTTTCACTATCTGCCTCGAGTAGTAGCCTGGAGTTCGGTTCTCGTCTTCGGTTTTTTGTTCCTTTCTCTTTAATGACGCTAGACGGGAAAGGACTAACTCTTCTCTGGGACTCATGTTCTCTTTGTTGATTTGGAGGGAAAGACGGTGGTAAAGGTCGACGTCTGATCTTCTGGCGGCGGACAATCTTGGCGTCTCCGGCAAGGAGCGGGTTCCCCTGATGTCCCCATCAAGAGAATTTCTGTGTTTGGTAGGAAGCGTTTTTCTACATTGGCCATTATGGTGCAACGACTTCGGTGTGGACGACGCCGACGGCAGGTGACTGCAGTCAGGGAGAAGATCAAGACCCATGAGTCGGGCAACCAGAGTTGGAGTCTTGGTGGCCGGAGAACTGCTGATTTCGGAAGAAAGATCATTGTTTGGAGCTTCAACTTTTGCTCTTATATTTCCACCTGTTTTGATCTGAATACCAATGTGGATTCAAAGCATAATCATTATCTTCATGATTAATTATACTCATTCCTCAGGAAAAAAAAAGGCTAATCTTTGGAAATAAAAATAAATAAAAGACATTGAAGTAGTAACCCATAACAAGATAAAATTAAATAATTAAATTAAACTCACTGATGGAATATTTAAAATTTCATCTTTACTGGTTGAAAGCAATGAAGTTGAACTCCTGATCTCTTCCTCCTCCTCTGATTCTAAACGGTTTCTAGGTGCCTCTATTCCTACCAATAAGAATTTAATCAAGTTAGTGGCTGAATACGAAGTTTTTTCAACAGTCATGCAATTAAAAGAAAAACAGAACAGCATCCGCAGCCGTGGCTACAATCATAGGGTGCTTCTTAGACTATGGATACCACTATAGTTTAAATCTTAGTGATGTAAACCTCATTCTCCCAATTTCTTAATGTAAAAAAATAAAAAATAAATAAATAAATATATAAAAGAACAGAACAGAGGAGGAAAGAGGACTGACCTTTGACAGAGGTGAGTTCCTGAGGTAGGAAGGGATTCGACTTTTGAGAAACACTGGTTGCCGCAGCAGGGGACTGGTGATGTAAAGGGAACTGAAAATGCTGGAAATCGAAGAAGTGAAATATGGTACTGATGCAACCAGAAGCAGAAGAAGTACTAGCCGTATGACTGGTGTGTCTGTCTCTCTTTGAGGTGTTAGTGGCGGCGATCGTGGCAGGGAAGGATCTTTTCCCACCACCCCAGTACCAGTCCCGGCCCATCCCCCGCTTTTCTTCTGAAACTATGAGAAAGCTGGAGTAGAAATTTACGGGTGTTCACTGTTAACTTCTTTGTCTCTGAAACTCAAACAGTGAGAGATATGAGGACGATGGCGACAGAAGAAGGAGATAAAAGAAGGAAGAAAAAGTAATGTTTTTAAGAAGAAAAGGTGAGATGAAGAAGCCAGAAGCGGATACATGAAAGCATAAATCATCCACATTTGTAATTTAATTGAAGTACCAGAGAAGGGCTTTCTTTTTTACCTTAATTACTCACTCCCAAGTTTTACCGGAGCATGAAGACCAGACCAATCTCTTTGTCTCTTTGGGAATTGAAACGAATTAAAATTTGTTAAGAGGATGACGATATGACCATGTCCATTTTTTTTTCTCTCACTTTCTGTCTGAAATGGGGAGAATATTTGACACGTAATATAAATTGTGAACACCAAACAGTGTCTATCTCTGAGCTCCATTTATGCACCCACCTGCGTTTTAAATGCAATGTGTGTGGCCCATAACACATAATTTAAAATCAACTAGCAATTGATGAAAAAAACTCATATATATATATATATATATATTAAAAACGTGTTATTTATTGGAAGTTATTTCTTCATTTAAAAATTTATATTTTATAATTAAATATAATTTAAATTATAAAATAAAAAATTCATATTTTTTCAATAAAAAAACTCATATTTTAGGTACACATTTCCTCTAAATTTACCATGCCAATATTTGGCGAGTTAATAGGTCCAACACAGCAACTACTTGATAATGGGGTTCGTTCCAAGCTTGTTACACTCTAATTAGGAAGCAGGTTGCTTTTAACATTACTAAATTGAGGAAGATGAACCCTACAAGGCAAAATCATTTCAAAATTTATACAACTCAATGTCCCTTTATTTTTCTGTCTTAAAAGGCGTTCCTTTCTAATCTTTTGGAACGAAGGAAAGCTTAAAAGGGAGAGCAATGGTCACCTGCCTTGTCCAATTACTTTTGCCTCATATTGATACGGTTGCATATAACGTTAACTCTAATGTTAAAGTCCGTGACCTTACTGCACACTAGGGAAAATATACTATCCTGCTCCTCTTGCCGACCTATGCATGTAACAAATCAACATAAAATAATAAAACAATAAAATAATATTAATAATAATTATTTACGAATGACTATGTAACCTTACAAAAGTAATCTTCTTTTGTTTTTGAAAGTTAAAAATCTTATATTTAAGTGGAACGGCATTGGTATATAATTCACAATATAAAAAAATGCACAAGTATTTCATCAGTAGATGTCCTGCTTGGTTGCCAATCACCCATCTGGCCCCAGTGGTAATGCTTGTCTTTGAGATGAAAAGTGATGACACCCTTGATGATATGAAGTTTGAATCCCAAAATTGACACTCCCCTATCTCTTAAGAGTAAATACTAATATTATCAATGTAATTACCATTTTCAAAAAAAAAAGAAAAGGGTGTCCTGCTGCTTACTGCATAGAAATGAATCTTCTGCTTGATACTTGTTAGAGTGGATTTTTCCCAGAAAAGAGGGAGTAGTTTGTGAAATCCCTGAATTTTAAAAACCCATCTTCAGATGACAATGATGATACCATTTTGTTTGGAAGTGCAAGTATAACATGATATCTGGGAGCTGGGGGGCCTCAAATGTGCGTTGTGGGATAAGAGACGGAAGGAGTGGGCACAATGTAAGCTAGTGGTCCGACAAAGCAGGGTATGTGAAGGACCCTATCTAGCACCTAAAACTGTTAATCAAGTCCCACTTCACTCGCTTCTCCTTGCTTAGGACCACCACCATACCCCTCTTACGCTCTCTTCTATTCCCCTTTCCGACAATTCACTGAAATTAAACAGTTCTAAAAGCAGCAACCCTTGGAAGCTTTAAGCTTTCTCCTTCAGGACGAGAAGTAGTAGCTGCCAAAGGATAATGAACTTTGATGGAAAACACAAAATACCTATAAGTCTAGACCCACCAGTGACCTAACAAACTCAATAAGACACTGAACACCATGGTCCTCCTTTAAACCATGGCCACACTGACCTGCTCTTCATGGATGCCATTCAAAATGGCAACCTGACCTAACACTAATCACGAACCTCTGTACGAAGGCCCTCCTGCCTACTTTGATGCTAGTTTTTCAAACAGAGATAGGACATTTCACTTTCAACCATTTCATAAATACATTCTATGATGCAAGCAACTCAACAAACACTATTATTACAATGGCTCAGATACCTAATCCTGCTGGCTCTATTAGGTGAGATTTTTGAATAACAAATCAGAATTGCTAGCAAACAAGCCTTAAAAACTTACGCGAGCAAATGAAAACGCTTTACCTTAGGAAAATTTTCAAATATTAAGTTCCAATGTACCTTTACTATCTTTAATAATTGCTGGTACATGAAGCACAGGCATGGCTCCTCCCAAGGTGCCCGGCTTGACCGGCCTGCTGGATGCTGCAGCACAACACTCTGCAGACTGCAAGGACATAAATCTTACCAACCATCACAGTTAATGATCAATAACCATGCCATCTATCCAAAGTAAATTCCTCTACAGCTAACTGTAAGAGAGCAGGGAAAGGCATTTACTCTCTCCCTAGGGTATAGATTTCAAATTTAATGCATTTCCCAATAATAGAATCAGGTAACATAAATATCAAAACAGGATCTATAAGAATTACTCTTACCCTGCTGATTTTATGCAGTAACGGTATACCATTACCATCATTACCATGGTTTCAGAAATGATCATCCCACAAAAAAAATATATCATCCATGCAATAAGATATTTGAATATTAATGAAACCATAGATGTAGAATGATGCTCAATACAAGAGTAAAATATGATGTCCCACTCTGTATCCTATAATTTTATGAAGGAATATATAGTGTGAATATTTGAGGCCTAAGTGATAGAAACAGGTAAGCTACAATCAAAAAACAAGACCAGATGCGGACACAAGAAGCAATGCAGTGATGACCATTAACCACTATGACCAAGCAAGTCTCACACAGTTAAGCTCAATGTACCCTTCAGTAATCTTAGCTGAGCTGATACCCACGCTAATTAAAAGAACCTTGATTTGTATCAAGATCAGGGATTTCAACCTTTGAGATACTACGCACTTAACTTCCATTGTACCAAAAATACAAGATATGAAATAAAAATATATTGAGAGCAAGGCACCTAAAGGCAGCATATACACCCATCAGTAAGCGTTGCCAGAGTCATACTATTAGGTTTAGGTCACAAGATTGAGACCAGAGGGAGAATTGGAGTAGAAACAAATATCCTGACATTTGGAGTGTTATTTCATTGTAGATTATATTAAAAAAATATATTGATAAGAAACTTTCCACATTATGTGTTTCTCTATCGACATTTTCAAAACAGAAATACCTGAATGATTTCTCAACTAAAGTCCCCACTATTGACTTATATCAGTTCAGAATACTTCAGAAAACAAATAAGCAGTCAGATTGAATATTTAATATCAGCAAGCTATGTGCAATTGAAAGAATACAATAACAGCTAAATATAGAAGTGAAGGGGGACAAAGACTAGCAAAAGAGATGCTCCTCAAATGCAAAAAAGTTACGATCTTTTCTTCCATCCCTTCATGTGAATCAAGACAATATAAATTGATGATCCTAAGTTTCAAAACCTGCTCCTGTCCAGCCAGGTGCTGTAGATCCTCTCCCCTTGGGGACAACACCAATTCCCTTTCCCCTTCCTTGGTACTGACTTTTCTTCTTTACTCTTACTTCTTCCTCATTTTTTGACTGTTGAGTTTGCCCGTTAATGGCAGCAACATTTCCACCTTCTCTTTGATTAGGTACATTTTCTGTCATGTTGGAAACTGAAGAAAAATCTGAAGTTGCACCTCCATTAGCAGGTCCAGCTGGCCTCACATCCTAAGATAATATACCAAAGCCAAATTTTAAACCTCCTTCGACAGTTTATGTAAGTATAACATTGCATGTATCAACCAGAAGGCATGCACATGATATATCCAAAACACACGAAGAGAGTAGCCCAAGCATGCAGTTACCTAAGTAAACAGACAAATCTTCTGGGACCTATTTCTCTGTATCTAAGGTAAAATAACATATGCATTTCAATAAAAAAATCACAATGACAAGACAATATAACAGATGCATTTTTGAGCAACGAATGTGAAAAAGTTTCTGCAGATTGTACACTTTATCCATGAATATTGCTTATTACATAAAGAGTACATAATTTACTGCAGAGAAATGGAAAGAGAACTCACAGGAGGCAAAATGGTAGATGCTCTACTTGGGTTCAGAGCTTCTAATCGTCTTTTCAATTCCTCAAGTCGAGCATATTGAGAGTTACTACTTTCTTGAACCTATGGAAGAAAAGCACATCAAATAAGTTTCAAGACAGTACACTTCACACGATTTATCTGCATAGAGAGACGATAGATACCAGATTGTTTAAGTCTTCACATAACTTCTGTTTGATTGCTTCCTCATCCTTCACAGCTTGTGATGCTGCTTCCCAATCCTGAAGAACATTAGAAAAAATTTTCTATCATGATGAAGAAAGAAGCAATTATATCACAAGTAAAATGTACAGGATGAAATATATTGCAAGGATTCAAATGAATTCTAACTGCAAAGGACAAACCTTTCGTGCTTGTTCCTCCTTCTGCTTGGCAACACGAATCCTTTCTGTTGACATTTCTATTTTCTTTCTCAAGTGTTCAAGTGCTTAGGGGAAGCAACATACATAAACAATGGAAAAGTCACTAAACTATGCACATTAGCAAAGAGAATTTTCATTCTGCTCCAAAAGAAGAATAACAAGTGACAATAATGTACCAACCTGATTTTTTAGGGCCAGCTGTAAGTTTCATTTCCATGTTCAGATTTGCAAGCTCTCGTTCAACATCACGTATTTTCGAATAATTTTCTTCAATGTATCTGAAAGCAATGCAAGAAATGTAAGTACCAGATAAAACATCTCCCTTCATGAATCATAACCAACAAACACAAAGAACATTTTGAGAAAGAAAACCACTTGAAAAGCAAACACCCTCTTTCAAATTTTGATTGTCAATAAATGTGATACGTTTCAAACAAAGGCAAAATTACTACCTATTTCCATCAAGTGACCTCCCTTTTTTGAAGAAAGAAAATTTATTTTATGTGCCATACAACCATAATCAACACTTCAAAATCATAAGTTGCAAGATCCTATTTGCCATAACTAGCCATCACTATCTCCCTGGATCTGAATTCTAAACTCAGAAAATTTCTATTTTGCTCTTGTTTTCTACAATTTTATTGTAAGTAACTACATATCGCATTACCAAACACTTATTCATATCGAATTATGGTTGAGCATTACAAAGACGTCATTCATAAGACTAAACTTCAACTCTAACAACAATACAGAAAGATTCAGTTCTTGAACATACTTTCTCAATTGAAGCTGCTCTTCCTGGATTTTCTGAAACATGAAAATCAAATACACCATCACATTCAGGAAATTGATCAACTCAGAAACTGGAATCAGGAAACTGGAAAGGAAAAATGAGTACCTTCTCAGTGTAGGCGATAACAGGCGCTTCTCTAGGGAGTCCGTCGGGTCCGATCTCAGGTTGCAGAGAAGGATTCGACGCCATTTTCTCCTTTTCCAGTTGGTTTTCCCTTGAATTTGAAACTGGAACCAAAGCCGGAAAATGCTGAATTCGATTTTTCCGATCAGATTCTAAGAAAGGAGTCGCCCTCACTTCAAATCCGAATGAAATGCATTACATTCTG